GCATTGTACCTCATGACTGATCTGGATATGTTCTTTTTGTCGATGAATGCAACACCATTCCTTTTCAATTTGTCATTCCCTGCATAGTAAACCATGTGATTATCAGATTCAAAATGGCCAATACCAGTCCATTTTAACTCACTAATGCCTAAGATATCGATGTTTATGCTCATGGAAGTAGCAGTCAAGAAATCAAACAACATATTGCATTAGGCACATCTGCTTCACAAGAGTTCTTTAAGGTATTCAAGAGCAAAAATGTCAGTTTGAGGACTAAAGTACACCTGACCCAAACTGATATTTTCAGTAGCCTTATTTGCATGTCAAGGAACTCTGATAGTGTAGTGGTTACAAGTCGGGGTGCGAACTGCAAGGTCAGCAGTTTGAAACTACCAGCTGTTCCTCGGGAGAAAGATGAGGCTTTCTGCTTCTGTAAAGATTTATAGCCTCGGAAACCCTGTACAGGGTCACTATGAGTCAAAATTGACTCCATAGCACATAACCACCACCATATACATGTGAAAGTTGGACGATGAATAAGGAAAACCATAGAATTGTTACCTTTGAGTTATGGTGTTGGAGGAGAATATTAAGAGTAACACGGACTGCCAGAAGAACACACAAATCTGTGTTTGGAGAAGTACAGCCAGAACTTTCCTTAGAAGCAAGGATGGCAAGACTTCATCTCTCATACTTCAGATATATTATTATCAGTCTCTGGAGAAGGACATCATGCTGGTAAAGTAGACCGTCAGTGAAAAAGAGGAACACCAACAACAAGATGGATTGGCACAGTGGCAGCAGCAATGGGCTCAAGTTAACAACAATCATGAGGATGGCACAGGACTGGGCAGCGTTTCATTCTGTTGTGTGTAGGGTCACTATGAGTCGGAACTAAGTCGATGGCATCTAACAACAACAACAATCATTTACTATTGTTGTTGTTAAGTGCCATTCAGTCAGTTCCGACTCATAATGACCCTGTATAGTGTTTCTGGGACTCCTGGTGTGGCATTATAGGTTAAGCACTGGACTGTGAAACACAAGATCGGCAGTTCAAACCTACCAGCTGCTCCTCTAAAACCCTATACAGGGTTGCTATGAGTCAGAACCAACTCTATGGCACTTAACAACACCATAGGGTTTCTGAGGAATGGCTGGTGGGTTTGAACCACTGACTTTGTGGTTAGCAGCCCAGTGCTTATTCTACATAGCCATACCAGCGTTCTCCAGTATAAAAAATTAGATATTTCCAAATGATTTGTGACGGTTTCTTTTTTTCCAAACTAGGATCCAATCAAGTGGATGCATTTTAGTTTTTTAAGTTTCTCTTAACAAAAAATAATTACCCCCTCTTTTTTTCCCCATTATATTGACAGGGTTTCTTTTTTTGTTTTTTTAAGAAAGAGAGAGGTAGCTATGAAGATATGAAGCTATGAAGAGGTAGATATGAAGGGGCTTCAAAAAGTTCATGGAAAATTTCCTTTATCTTTTAATTCCATTTTTCCATGAACTTTTGAAGCCCCATCGTATTAACCCATCCTGGAATATGAAATTGGTTTTTCAAGAAGTCTAGTTATTTTGATTTGTCTGGTCATTTCCTTAGCATATAATCTAACTTGTCCCTCTATCCTCTGAAAAATCACATCTGAAGTCTTCCTTTGTTCTTGTTAAGTGCCGACGAGTCAGTCCTGACTCAGCTGTGCAGTATAGGGTTTCCAAGGAGCAGCTGGTGGGTGGGAACCTCTGACCTTGTGGTTATCCTACAGCACCACACCAGGAGTAGGAGGTTTTACTTAGACTTTGTCTAAACTTCTCTGGCAAAGATATTTCTTAGGGAACACTCATATTGTAACACATTAGCACATGATGTCATTATTAGTGACTAGTTTGATTATGTTCAGTGTTAGCCAAATTGCTCCATTGTAAGCGTATGCCTGTGTTTCAAATTAATGTTAGGGTGATTACTAGCACAGTGATCTGCTCCCCACCAACTTAATGGCTTTAACAACCATTTTCTTGAGGAATTATGAATAAGCCTTTGATGGCACTCTTTTGAATAACAACAAATTCTTAAACTGAAAAATTTGGAATGGATTTAGCTCAGTGGTAATCAGATAGCATAAGGAGAGGACAAAAGCTGATTGGTTTCCAACAAAAAGTTTAAATGTTTAGTGAGCCTCTGGGAGCTGATGCTTTCTTTTAAGGAATGTGGAAGAGCTGTCTTACAGAGCACTTAGAGATACTAAAGGGTCTGAAACTCCATTTCTTCAGATCTTTTGGAGACTGGTGATCCTTTTGAGGAAATGTCATATCTCCTTGTTCTAATAAACCTAGTAAGCTTCCATTATTAATCTCACCAGGGCACAAAGATACCATTTATAAAGAATGGATGGGCAATAGAGTTAGGAGAATGAACTTGTTGCCTTCAGCAAACTTATACTTATTTGCTTATCCTGCCTTAACCCACCTTTTCTGGTTTTCCTTTGCAGTACTCCATGGTGGAGCTTCAGGTAAGTAGATATTTCTTTTTCTTCTCTGTCAGTTGTGCAGAAGGAAAAATAGAAGCCTGGTTGGTACCAAACCTTAAATCCAGAAATGACACTGAGATCTTAGCCCAGACTCAGAAATTCACAATCCTACCAGCGATTGTGTCTGTTCTTTGCCTCTTCCCTCCTGTTGTCTCAGACCTAAACTTCTGCAGACCAGGACATCAATCTCTGCTGCAACCACATCCTCTCTGATTCTAGTTCCTTTTCCATAGCATGCCCACTTAACCTGCCTTGGCTCTGTAGTCCTCTTAGTCTTAGTCAATAGCCTTGTCATAGACGCTCAACAGTTGAATGACTGATTACATGAGTACCCATGTAACAAGTGTTTTGTTGTTGTTTATTTTTCTTAGAAGAGAAGAAACTGAAAGGGCAAATTCCCACATGATTCCCGCCATTTTTCCATTAAATTACAGTGAATTCCTTCAGCTTTTTTTTTTTTTAGTAGGAACCAAGAAACGTGTAGCTAATCTTAACACTTTATAAGGGAGTCTGTCTGATAATTTGAACTCACATGGACCTATTTTCTCCCAAATGTGGGCTGGATCCATAGAGAATCTTATTTTATTCAGCAGTGAAGAAAATTATGAATCATGTTGTTGTTGTTAAGTGTCGTTGAGTCTGTTCCGATTCATAGCAACCCTGTATAGTGTTTCCAAGGAGCGACTGGTAAGCTTGAACCTCCGATCTTACCATCCAGCGTACTAACCTGCAGTACCACACCAGGACTAGGAAGGTGTTTTTACCAGAACACAGACCACAGAGGTCATGTACAATGGAGTCATGAGAAGCATAATATTCTCAACCTTTGTAGATATGTCTACCTTCAATGCAAAACCATGGTGACTCATTGCAAAGCGGGCAGCCAATAAGCAGGCACATCATTCTATTTCTCTGTACTGGACACAGGATCCAAGTAACAACAGAATCGCACAGTGGCTGGAAGTTGTGCCTGAGCAGGGCATTGTAGACCTGTCTTTCCAACTGGCATCAGAGGCAATGCTTGGCACCTATACCGTGGCAGTGGCTGGAGGCAAAACCTTTGCCACCTTCAGTGTGGAGGAATATGGTAGGTTGAAGATTTAGTAGGTCAAAGTGTTGGGCATAATCTTGTCTCACAATCAGCAAAGATAAAGTAAAGTCTACTCTGGGAATGACTCTTTTGGGAGGGCAGAATTGTATTTAACAGTAATTACCTCGGTTGCTTTAAGGTGCTTTGGTAGTGCAGTGGTTACGAATCGGGCTGCAAACCTTAAGGTCAGCAAGTTCGAAAACTACCAGCTGTTCTGCGGGAGAAAGATGAGGCTTTCTGCTCCTGTAAAGATTTCCAGCCTCTGAAACCCTGTACAGGGTCGTTATGAGTTGGAACCGACTCCACGGCACATAACAACAACAACCCTCTAGGCCAAGGGTGGGGAACGTCCAGCCTACTGGCTGAATAAAGCCCGCAAAATGATTTGGTCTAGCCCTGCGAAGTCAACCGCAATTCTAGTCATCACATTGTTGTTAAGTGCTGTTGAGTCCTCCCGACTCAGAGGGACCCTGTATAGGGTTTCCAAGGAGCAGCTGGTAAGTTTGAACCACCGATTTTGTGGTTCAAATCAAATTTGAGGTCCAGTGCATTGTTGGTGTTAAGTGCCATCCAGTTGATTCTGACTCATAGTGACCCTGTATAGGGTTTCTGAGGAGCGGCTGGTGAGTTTGAACTGCCGACCTTGAGGCCCAGTTAATTAAATGTTTGACCAAAAATAGCATTCTAATTTTTAAGTTGATAATTTTGTTTGGCCCATGAATGATGTTATAAATTTTGGCAGAAAAAAAGGTTCCCTACGTAGCGTAGTGGTTACGAATCGGGCTGCGAACCTTAAGGTCAGCGGTTCGAAACTACCAGCCGCTCCGCGGGAGAAAGATGAGGCTTTCTACTCCCGTAAAGATTTACACCCTCGGAAACCCTGTACAGGGTCGCTATGGGTCGGACCCGACTCGATGGCACTTAACAACAACAACAACCCCTGAGTCTAGTCAGTAATTTACCTTGCCTACCTCCCACTCCTGATGTCGCATTGTAGGATAAGCACTGGACTGTGACCCACAGGTTTAGCAGTTCAAACCTACCAGCTGCTCCTCAGAAACCCTATACAGGGTTGCTATGAGTTGGAGCTGACACAACAGTACTTAACAACAAAAACCTCCCACACCTGGTAATCCTCAAAAAATGTTTCTTTTAGTGTGAAAATGTTTTTTTTCACTTTTTACAATTGTTGTTTTAAGTGTTAAGTGCCATCAAGTTGGTTCTGACTTATAACAACCTTTCATAGACTTTCCAAGGAACTGCTGGTGATTTTAAACCACCAACCTTGTGGTCCAGTGCTTTATCTCACAGCACCACACTAGGACTTCTTGCAACAGTGGTCTCAAAAGTATTCTTTTTGTAATTGACTGATTTCACTCAGCATAATGTCCTCCAGGTTCATCCATATTATGATGTGTTTTGCAGATTCATCATTATTCTATAAGATTGATAGTATTCCATTGTGTGTATGTACCATAGTTTGTTTATCCCTTCTTTCATTCTGGGCATTTCGGTTGTTTCTTATTCATTTTTGAAACAATGCTAATAACTTCAGCAGCATTTACCTTAATCATGTTCTGTATGTTTTAATTACCCCTATTTGTACACCCCTCTGTTCACTATGCAACTAAGTTCTCCTCCTATTCTTCACTCATTTCTCTTTCCACTCTCTCCAGTGTTGCCTAAATTTGAGGTGGAAGTGGTGGAACCCAAACAGCTATCAACAGTGGAGGAATCTTTCATAGTGAAAATCTGTTGTAGGTAAGAGTAGAAATTCTGGATCTGATGGAGATTATATGGTTATTTTGAGAGAAATGAAGAGGTTGTACTCTGGGGAGAAGGATTGTAGGAATAGGAATATTTTATGTAGTTGAGAGTCATACCTTAGCCATTCTTCCTGTTGTGTTTTAGTTACTACCGTCCGCTGGTCACTCAGTTATTTAGTTTGTGCAGAATACAATTCTAAGTCTTATGGAGCAATAGGAGTAAGTATAAGGAGCCCTGGTGGTACAGTGGTTAAAACACTCAGCTGCTAACTAAAAGATTACTGGTTCAAACCCACCAACCTCTCTTTGGGAGAATGATGTGGTAGCCTGCTTTTCTAAAGATTTACGGTTTTGGAAATCCTATGATGGGGCAGTCTACCTTGTTTTGTAGGGTCACTATGAGTTGGAATCAACTCGACAGCAGTGAGTTTGGTTTATAAAGAAGAAAGAAAGGCACTGTTTTTGTCCTTGGGATGGTGCTTACATGTAATGGTGTAATAGCAACATTCAAGGGCTCTGAGTGAGGCAGGGAAGGGAACAAGAGCTGGAGCCGAGGAGGAGTGTCAGAGCACTTTCAAAGATTGAGGCTTTACTGAAGAAGGAGACAGTATTTTAGGGAATGAGGGCCAGATCTCAAATGGATTTTCTCATCTCTGATTCCTCATGCTTTTCTGAGTTAGGTACACCTATGGAAAGCCCATGCTTGGGGCAGTGCAGGTTTCCATGTGTCAGAAGGCATATACCTACTGGTATCGAGAGACAGAACAGGAACAACTGCCTGACAAATGCAAGAAACTCTCTGGACAGGTGAGTAAATGCAATGCAAAAAAGGAACCTTATTTACACCTCCCATAGAGTAAATAGGGCCAATATAATAAAGGGGTTAAAAAGCCCAAAGTACAAAAAGTTCTGCAGGATCATTATTCATACCAAAGAACAAAGCAGTGTCTCTTCCTAAACAAATGAAATTGACCAGAATATGTCTTGGAATCAAGAAATTAACCTAAGTCTTTGTGAGATATTGTTTTCCAAGTCTATAGTTGGTTCTTTTCCCCTTCACATATCCTGGAGCTTCAAAATCATTTCTTCATTACATATAGTAGATGCTGGTATAAGATCACTCTTGTTAAGTGCCATTGAGTAGATTCTGACTTATAGAGACCCTGTATAGAGTTTCCAAGGAGCCACTGGTGACTTTGAACTGCCAACCTTGCGGTTCAAACCAACTTTATTACTGAGTGCTCACTGGGTGGTGCAAATTGTTAGTACTCAGCTATTAACATAAAAGTTAATGGTTCAAATTCACCCATCAGAGCTGAGGAAGAAAAGCCTGGGGATCTACTTCCATAGAGATTATAGCCAAGAGAACACTGCATCTGTAACACATGGTGTTGCCATGAATTAGAATTGACTCGATGGCAACAGATCGGTTTGGGCTTGTGCATACTCTTTGCTTAGAATATAGGAGAGTCCTTTCATTTTAGAGAACCTGAAGTATGGAGATCAGAAATTATTACCTTCTGCGGTAGAGACAGAAATAGAAATGATCCCACTCATTGTCCTCTCTGCCTCTCTAGACTGACAAAGCTGGATGCCTTTCAGCCTCTGTGGACATGTCTACCTTCAACCTCACTAGCTACAGATATAGCCAGAGTGTCAATATTGTCGCTACTGTAGTGGAGGAAGGCACAGGTAAGATGGTTACTCTTTGACTCCTTCAGAAAAAGACAGAAAGAGCTGTTCCAGGGACAGACTTAATTAGAGGATTTAATCAGTGTTTAAGGAGCTCTGGTAGCGTAATGGTTACGAATTGGGCTGTGAACCTTAAGGTCAGCAGTTTGAAACCACCAGCCGCTCCGCAGGAGAAAGATGAGGCTTTCTGCTCCCGTAAAGATTTATAGCCTCGGAAACCCTGTACAGGGTCGCTATGGGTCGGAACTGACTCGACGGCACTTAACAACAACAACAACAACAACAATCAGTGTTTGGGAATGGCCTGCTCCTAGTTCACAGTCAAGGGGGAAAGCCAAGTTCTACCTTGCCATCCACTGCCAATTTCTCCAGTAGTTTGGGGAGGAGAATTTTGGTCTGAATCTTTAGCCCCAAATATGTTCAGTTTTCATGTTCCAGAGGCACCATCCTTTCAGAGCTATTTATGTAATGTGTGAAGATGAAGATATGTGGCATTTAGATCATCATTCATCTGGTTTTCTTCTGCAGGTGTGGAGGCCAATACCACACAGGAGGTCTACATTTCTTCACAGATAGGATCAATGGTCTTTGAAGACACCAATAACTTTTATTATCCCAATTTCCCCTTCAGTGGGAAGGTATGCTGAAACTCTACATAGATAAAGAACACTTAACCACCCACTTTTACCTCCTTCCTGTGTTGTTGTTACTTAGTGTCATCAAGACTTCTGACTCATAGTGACCCTATATAGGGTTTCCTAGGAGTGACTGGTGGATTTGAACTGCCAACCTTGCAGTCCAGTGCTTATCTTGTTGTTGTTGTTAAGTGCTGTTGAGTCAATTCTGACCCATAGCGATCCTGCATAGCATTTCCAAGGAGCCACTGGTAAGCTTGAACCACCAACCTTGCAGTAGAAACGACTTGGCAGTCTCACACATTAGCCCATAGCACCACACCAGTGCTTATCTTACAGTGCCAATAATAGCTAGTTTACTGCCAGGCATTTTTCTAAGTACTTTACATGTATTATTTTATTTAATCTGTGTAACAGCACCAGATGGTCGGCACTATTGTTCTTGCTAGGTGCCGTTGAGTTGGTTCCAACCCATAGTGACCCTGCATAGGGTCTTTGAGGAGCGGCTAGTGAGCTGGTGAGTGACTGGTGAGTGGTTGGAGTGACTAAGTGATTTCCCAGCTAGTAAGTGGTAGTCCTGGTGTGGTGCTGTAGGATCAGCACTGGACTGCAAACCACTAGGTCGGTGGTTCAAACCCACCAGTTGCTCCTTGGAAATCCTGTAATGAGTGAGAATTGACTTATTGGTCCTAACAACAGCAACAACAACACAATCAAACACAGGCAGCCTGCATTCAGAATATACTCTCTTGATTACTATGTTGTGCTGACCTTAATCCCACACTAGATGCACCTTGAATATTAATATGACTACAGTGCCCTTCCTAATGCCAGGAGCTCATCCTCTAATGACCAGATCTTTGAATTTAAGACCTGTAAGTGTTCTGAAAGAAGCCCTGGTGGCATAGTGGTTAAAACACTTGACTGCTAACCCAAAGATCATCAGTTCAAACTCATCAACAGCTCCACAGGAGAAAGATGTGACAGTCTGCTTCTTTAAAGATTGTTGTTGTTAAGCGTCGTTGAGTCGATCTCGACTCATAGTAACCCTGCATAGGGATTCTGAGGAGCAGCTAGTGAGCTTGAGCCACTGATCTTGCAGTTCAAACCAACTTTGCAGTCAAGCACATGAACCAACAGCACCACACCAGATTTCAACCTTGGAAACCCTATGGAGAAATTCTACTCTGTCCTACAGGGTCACTGAGTTGAAATCAACTCCTTGGCAACGGGTTTGGATTTGTTTTAAAGGTTCTAGAGAAATCTGGTCTGGGCTCCTGCATGTAGGCAAACTTTTTTTTAAGCAAACTTTTCTGGGCTGAAAGCCATTTACAGCACTATAAGTATTTTCTTTAAAAATATTAAAATTTCCTCTCTCCGGTTTATCTTCTTCATTTGCCAGACAACTAATGAACGTGATAATATTGTATATATTTAAACTCACTTATTTCTGTCGTCTTTTCTCTAGGCCTAGGGTAGATCCAGATATTTCTAGAGCCTGGGGGTTATGCAGTTTGTAAGGGAAAGAGGCTCTGTTTAAAAAAAAGAAAGAACAAAAGTCAAAATAATGTAGACAGTCTTGGAAGGGGCTTGTGCAAGAAACTCACCTACAGTTTTATTAGCTGTGTGACCCATCTACCTTTGCTCCAAGCTAAGAAACGTCTACTTGTTTCTTAGTTTCTCATGGATCCTAATTTCCCACCTTTAAATCTCATTTATCTTTCTCTGGACTCTTTCCTGAAATGTATTCTTAGAGTTTTACCTCACTTTACCTCATACTTGAGCCTACTCCGAATCAAACTCTAATGGCCTAATGACCTTTACGCCCCGGTCTACCCCTGTCTTCCCGCTGACAGATAAGAGTTATGGGCCATGACGACACCCTGCTCAAGAAGCATTCAGTGTTTCTGGTGATTTATGGCTTAAATGGAACCATCAACCAGATTCTCATTACTGACAACAATGGCCTTGTTCACTTCACGCTGGACACAGTCCATTGGAATGGGACAGATATTTCTCTGGAGGTAAGCACTGAGGAGGACCCAGCTTCCCAGCAAGAAAGGCTCCCCTGAAGTCAAATTTCAAAATGTTCCTGTTTCATACCCTCCCTCCCCTAAATTTTATAACTCTCACTCCCCAGTCATGCTCCACAGTTGACACACAAAATTTTTTTTTAGATTCTTCCTGTTTTTAATATAAATAAAATAAATAACCCTTCAGATCAAAATTGTTAATTCCACTAATTTAGCTTACAGTTTATCCCCATCATTATCTGGCCCTATTGTGTGACGCTGTGGATTAATGTACCAGACTAGAGCCGTTTGAACTACTTGGTGGTTCAAGCTCACGAGCTGCTCCTTGGAAACCCTATATAGGGTTGCTATGGGTCAGAACTGACTCAACGGCACTTCACAACAACAACAACATCTATGAAATCAGAGTTGTTATGGCTGCAATTGTGTGCTTCCATCCAGTTGGCCCCTGACTCGTGGGAAATCGAGTAGAGATGGAAAGATGGCACCAGTGTCAAGTCTTCTCCCTGTTCCCCTGTCCCTGCTCCTCATTACCCACAAAAGTGTCAGGGAAAAAGACCCAGATTGTAGATAACCTATCGAGGAGACTCCTGGTATAGCACTGTAGGATCTCACTGGACCGAGAACCACAGACTGACAGTTCTAACCCACCAGCTAGCTGTTCCTCAGAAACCCTGTGTAGGATCACTATGAGTCATAACCGATTCAACAGCACTTAATAACAACAATAAGGGTGACAACTTATATGAATTATCAACTGCCCCAACAATTCTGCCTAAAAAACAACTACAAGATTTCAGTATCATATAATGAGCATCTATTGTTCAAGTATCTGGCCTAGTTAGATAGGCAGCTCTACCAGCCTTGGTTTGAACCGCAAGGTCGGTGGTTCAAGCTCACCAGCTGCCCCTTGGAAATCCTATACAGGGTCACTGTGGGTTGGAACCGACTTCACGGCGCTTAACAACAACACCACCACCAGCCTTGGTGGGCTGCTTCATTTGTCCATGAGTCCGCTGACTTTATGCTGGTCTTCCACATGTCTCTCCTGCTCCAGCAATATGTTGTTAAGTTGTTTAGTGCCGTTGAGTGTATAGGGTTTCCAAGGAGCAGCTGGTGAGCTTGAACCACAGACCTTGAAGATCAAACGACTTTGCAGTCTGATACATTAGCCTGCAGCACCACACCAGGACTCCAGCAATATAGCTTGGGTGTATTCTCGTGGCAGGAATGGAGGAGCAAATGCGGGCATGTGCTAGGGCTTGGTGCTTCATGTACTAACATCTTAATCCTAATAGCAAGTCACATGGCTGAGCCCAAGGGCACTTCAAGGTTACTTGACAAAGAGTGTTGATACAGGGAGCAGTGAAGAACTGAAGCCACAAGTGCTGTCATTCAACCACACTACTTAAACAAACACATATTTGTTTTGTGGCTAACTTAACAATTTCTTTACTCTAAACATCACACAATCACTCAGCTCAGATAGAATTATTTTTCAATCTTATTATCTTCTTCTATATCTAATTTTCTAAATCTTGAGATATCGCCTTTAAATTCAATATAATCTTACTCATGCTTACCTATCCCCTAGTCATCAGTCTGTGAAGGTATAAGTGTTGTTGTTAAGTGCCATTGAGTCAGTTCAAACTCATATGACCCATATAGGGTTTCCAAGGAGCGCTAGTGAGTTTGAACCATTGACCCTGCACTTCAAACGACCTTGCAGTTCAGTGCATTATCCCATAGCACCACACCAGGACGACCTCACAATTTTCCAACTCTAAGTAAGCCCTCATTTCACTGACCTACAAACCAAACTGTTGTTGCACACACTACTGTTAGGAATTGCTCACCCACCCTTGACTGGACTACAGGTTAGCAGTCTAAGTCCATGGGTTTAATAGGATTGGGAATACATGTTATAAAGACAACCTCACCCCACCCTCTCTCTCTCTATCCCTCAGGGCAGGTTCCAAATGGAAGATATGGTATATAATCCAGGGCAAGTGCCTCGCTACTACCAGAATGCTTACCTACATTTGCAACCCTTCTACAACACAACCCGCAGCTTCCTTGGCATCCATCGGCTAAATGGCATCTTGAAATGTGGCCAGCCCCAGGACGTGGTGGTGGATTATTACATTGATCCAGCTGATGCAAGCTCTGACCAAGAAGTGGTCTTCTCCTACTATGTGAGGCTGGGAGATGGGGACTTGTAAAAATGTGGTGGGAAGGCAAGGAAATAACCGAGTCAACCAGAGCAAGTGGTTAGACTATCTAGGTAAACATGTAACATAAGCCACATATGTAATTTCGAATTTTCCAGAAGCCATACTTAAGAAATTAAACTGCACATGTAAAATGAACATTAATAAAATACAGGTATGCATCACAGTTTTCTTGTGGTGCTATAGGATAAACACTAGACTGCTATCTGCAAAGTTCAAACCCACCAGTCATTCCTCAAGAGAAAGATGAGGCTTGCTGCTCCTATAAAGAGTTATAGCCTCAGAAACCCTGTCTAGATCACTATGAGTTGGAATCAACCCAATGGCAGTAAGTTTGTTTTGTTTTAATAGTGTAGCTAGTGGCTACCATATTGCAAAATACAGGTATAGAGAATGGAAGAAAAAAAAAAAATAGGAAAAAAAAAGATTTTGAGCAAGATCCAGGGAAATCACTTGGGAAAATAATACAAGGAATTAATAAGACAGGAAAATGTTACTGGCCAGTGCCCAAAGGGGGATGGGGAGTAGAGGGGTGGAGAGGACTTGGGAACATTCTCATTCTGTGTTCTATTTTGTTAAAACTGACATCAATAGGAGCTACATTGGGGGAGAGGAGAGTTACATTTTGTAGTTAAAAAAAAAAATGTATAAAATTAGCAGTTTTGATGATAGCAGGGATGAAAAAACAACAACAACAAACAAATACTCCAATATGGCAACTCCATATTTGTCAGAGTAGAACTATGTTCCTTAGACTTTCAATGGCTGATTTTCCAAAAGTAGAGCCTTCTTTTTTTGTAAGCCCTTCTGGTTGGACTTGAAACCCCAGACTTTCAGCAGCCAAATGTGTTAACTGTTTGCACTAATCAGGGAGGGACTCAGTAAAGAATTAAAGTTATGTAACTCTCACAACTGGACCAGTAAGGCACATGATAAATGAAGAAAAGACTAGTGTTATGAAGGATTACATTTTACTTGAGTCCATAGTCAATGCCCATGGAAGCAGCAATCAAGATATCAAAAACTTTATAGTCAAACCTGCTTCAAAAAGATGTCACATTGAAGACAAAGGTTTGCCTGATCCAAGCCATGGTATTTTCAATCATCTCATATGAATGAAAACACTGGACAATGAATAAGAAAGAAAAAAACTGACAGCATCGAATTATGGTATTAGCAAAGAATATTGAATGGACCATGGACTGCCAGAAGAACAAACAAATCTGTCTTGGAAGAAGTATAATCAGAAGCAAGATGGCAAGACTTTACCTGACTTTGTTTGGACATGTTGTCAGAAGGGACCTATTCTCGGAGAAGAACATCTTGTTTGGTAAAGTAGAAGGTCAGCAAAAAAGAGCAAGACATAGTGACTGCAACAATGGGCTCAAAGATAATAACAATTGTGAGGATGGTACAGGACAGTGTTTCATTCTGTTGTACATATGGTTGCTACAAGTGGGAACTGATTTGACCACACTTAACAACAACAGACCTCAGGTGTGATGGTCCAGGATTTCTCTTTCATCCTTTATCATCCTCGCAGTCTCACTGGATCAACCCAGTGTCTTCTAAGTTACTGGGATCATCAAATCAAGATGGGCACACCAGAATGAGGAAGGGTAAATTATTTCCTAGGAAGGAAAATCACAACTCAGTTGTAAAGTAATGCTTCCAAGACAGAACTGTGGAGAGATTTGGGAGAAAAGTAAGCTTGGGGCTCAGCAGAGGGGAAGGCTGAGTACCATATTGGAGCCAGAGGAACCATATTGGAGCCAGAGGAACCAACTACTGAGTTGCTACAGAAGTCTGAAATGACAACCTGCCTAGGAGCAATTTCAGTGAATCATGTTTCAAATGAGTTAGGGCAGATTTTTTCCCCAGATAGTTGGGTGTCAGAAGGGCTCAGGACAGTTGGAAGTACACTAATTTCACTAAATTTTGAATTGAGTGATAATAATAAAAGGTCATGAAGATGGATTCTAATATAATAATGATGATTATGTTCAAATAAAATCTATCTATAAAGATTCATTCCCTGGAGATCTTCATGAAATGGTAGTTCATGAGGAATCATCATGAAGAATAATTTCTATGCTGTCTGATCCAAAGGCAATAATGACCATTTCCTCTCCCTCTCCCCCTACTGGTGTGGTTCATAAGCATTTTCTACTGGAGGAAAACCCATCAAGACTTGTTGGCACCATCCTGCATTGGACAAGCTAAGGGATACTCAGTGAAGTTTTAATCTAGACTCTGGAATTATGAAAGGAGCCTCTTCTCAGGGAGGAATGCAGGGGTGCTCCAGAAGTAAGGTCAAGGCTAAACTCCCATAACTCCTGTACTAATTATTTTCATCTCTCCCGTAGTTAATAGGAAAAGGGAATTTGAAGATGGAAGGGCAGAAACTTGTGAACTCTAAGAAGAAAGGTGAGTGTAGAGGGTTCTACTGGAAAAGGAAAGTATTTTTTGTTGTTGTTTTTATTGTAAAAAATATATGTAATACAACATTTGCCAATTTAGTGGGAGTTTTTCTTTAAATTTTATTTATCTTGCTGTTGAGACTATATGCAGCAAGACATATAATAGTTTATACATGTACAATTCAGTGACAATGATGACATTCTTCAAGTTGTACAACTGTTCTACCCTTTTTTAGCTGAGTTGTTCCTCCTTCATTAACATAAATTCACTGTTACCTAAGGTTCCTATCTAATCTCTCAAATTGCTATTGTCAATTTGATCTCATATAATGTGCCAGACTGCAAAGGCATTTGAACTGCAAGGTTGGTGGTTCAAGTTCACCAGCTGCTCCTTGGAAATTCTATCAGGGTCTCTATGGGTTGGAATCTACCCGATGGCACTTAACAACAACTACAATAGTTCTTAAGAGAATATGATGCTCAAGGTAGATATTCTTTACTAGTTAAACTAAACTCTTGTTTGGTTTTAAGAAGTCTTCAGATGATATTTTTGCTTTAAGGTTTAAAGATTATCACTGGTTTAAGGGGTTCATTCACCCTCCATGGCTAGAGAAAGTTTTGAGTCCATAAAAATTTGAAATTCTGTTTTGCATTTCCCTCCTTTTGATCAGGATCCTTCTATGGAATCTTTGATCAAGTGTTCAGTAATAGTAACTGGGCACCATTCAGTTCTGTCTCATAGTAAAAGATGAAGTTGTTCATGAATGCAAGTAGCCACATATTTTACATTCACATCCTTTTCCTGACTCTCCTTCTTATTCTGTTGTTTCAGATGAATAATGACCAATTATTCCTTGCATAGTCACTTGCAAGCTTTTAAGACCCCCAAACACTATACAATGAACTAGGAGGTAGAACAGAAGTACTATCCATATTATTAGTTATTGGGATGTCCCATGAGACCTCTAAAACTCTAAACCTCCAAACCAAGGAACCAAATCCCATGAGATATTTGGTTGTACATAATCAGCCTTATTTGCTACTTTTCTTTTCTGGTCATTGTTGTAAATTTATCTATCACACAGTTTTTGCCACTTAAACTTTTTACAGGTGTATAACTTATCAGCAGCAATTACAGTGATCAGTCATGCTAACTATCCTCAATCAATGTAATTTTCCATCAACATGAGCCTTCCTTTTGCCCCCTTTCTCTCATACCTGGCTACAACTAATAAATTTGGTCTCTATATATTTGCCTTTTCTTGTCTGTTTATATAATTGAGTTCATACAGCATTTGTCCTTTTGTGATTGGCTTATTTTGCTTAACATAATGTCTTCAAGCTCCAACTATACTGTAGTATGTATCAAGATTTCATTTCTCCTACTGGCTGAGTAGTATTCCATTGTGTGTATTTACCACATTTTGTGTATCCATTCATCTACTGATGGGCTATTTTTGGGCTATTGTGAAAGGTGCTAAAATGAACATTGGTTTACAAGTCTCTTTATGAGTCTCTGTTTTCAAGCCTTCTGGGTATATACTTAGGAGTGAAATTGACAGATCATATGGTAGTTCTATTTTTAGTTTTTTGAGGAACCTCCACACTAATTTTTACAGCAGCTTTACCATTTTCATTCCCACCATAAATGGATAAAGTTTCCAGTTTCCCTATACCCTCACCAACATTTGTTAATTTCTGTTTGATTTTTGTCTTAGTCACCCTGTGTTGTTAAGTGTCATCAAGTCAGTTCCAATTGGGGCAACTGATAAGTTTGAGCCACCAAACTTTTGGTCCAGTGCTCAGTGAAATCGTATCTCATAGTGATTTCAGTTTACATGTCTCTGATGGTTAATGGATCTGAGTACCTTTTCATGTATTTGGTGGCCATTTAAATGTCCTCTTTAGTGAAATATCTATTCAAATCTTTTGCCCATTTTATAATTGAGTTATTTGTCTTTTTGTTGTCAAAGTCTTATATATATTTTGGTTATTAGTCTATTAGTCTTATCAGATAGATGGTTTCTAAAGATATTCTCCCAGTCAGTAGCTTGTTTTTCACTTATTTTATAAACTCCTTTGATGAATAAAAGTATTTATTTATTTTGTCTTTTGCTGTTTGTACTTTTGCTATTATATTGGATAGTTCATTATTGAAAGCTTGTCCTGACAGCATTGCCCCCTGGGGATTCTTCTAAGAATCTTAGGGTTTGACTTTGCATATTTAGGTCCTTAATCCATTTTGAATTTGTTTTAATGTATGGTGTGAGGCAAGGATCCTGTTTCATTTTTGTACAATGGGAAATCCAATTTTTCCAGTATTATTTATTAAAGAGACTATTCTTTCCCCATCAAATGGATTTAGCATCCTTATTAAAAAAAAATCATCTAACCATAGATGTGTAAATTTAAATCTGGACTTTCCATTCTATTCCTTTGGTCTATGTGTCTATTGTAATTTCAGTATCAGGCTGTTTTGATTACTGTGCTATATGACTCACTACCCACTGCTTTTGAGTCAATTCGGACTCAGCAATTCTAGAGCACTGAGTAGAAAGAACTGCTCATAGGGTTTCAAGGCTCTAATCTTTATAGGAGCAGATGGATTCTTCTTTCTTCCACAGAGCAGCTGGTGGATTTGAGACCCAATCTTGCAGTTAGCAATCTAATACTTAACCCACTGAGCCACCAGAGCACCTTTCTGTAGCTGTATAGTATGTTTTAAAATTAGGAAGTGTGCGTCCTCCTACTTTATTCTTTTCTTTCATCATCATTTTAGATATTCAAGACTTCTTGCTTTTCTATATAAAATTGAAGTTTAGTTTTTCTATTTCTATAAATAAGGCTATTGGAATTCTGAGCAGGATTTCATTGAATCTGTAGATCAATTTGTGTTATATTGACATCTTAATAAGATTAATTCTTCTAATCCATGAAATTGGTATATCTTTCCATTTATTTAAGTCTTCTTTAATCTCTTTCAGCAATATTGTATAATTTTCATTGTATAAGTCAGTTGAATTTTTTTGATGTATACAATTTATTGACATTAATTACATTAATCATCAATATCCATTGCCAAATTTTCATCACCATAAACAAAAAGTCAGTGCTGCCTAACTGATTCCAAGAAAGGAATGAGTCCAGAAAAAGTTTTTGTTAGAGGAATGAGAAAAGAGCACCAAAAATAATGCTAGAAGATTGGAAAATGAAAAGCGGCATACATATGATTGACCCAATAAGAAATGCAAATTGTGGGTGGAGGTGATTGGTTGATGAGTATACTCTCTCATTCCCTTGTGTCCTCCTCTTCTCTTTCAGGACCAAAAGGATCCTTCTCTCTCTCACTGACCTTCACTTCCAGACTAGCCCCTGATCCTTCCCTGCTCATTTATTCTATTTTTCCCAGTGGAGGTGTAATAGCTGACAAAGTTCAGTTCTCAGTAGAGATGTGCTTTGACAATCAGGTAAAATGGCAGTTGAGAAAAATGAAGAAAAGAGTTGAACTTAAAGAAAGACCTTGTGTGTGTTGGGGTTGGAGACAATACAGGGGCAAGGAAATAAGATTATATTGAAGTTGGATGTTATATTTATATAGAATGTTTAACTAAAGCCAGCCTCTCACCTGCTTCTCCTTTAAAAAAAAAAGTCATTCTGGGAAATCACATGTTTTATGTAGTTATTTCATAGGTTCTCTTTTACATATTGTTTGTCTTCTAAAATTTTTATCATTATACTGTGTATACTTTTCCCAACTCTGTCATAAGAGACCAATCCTAAAGAGTTGTTGTTAAGTGCCATTGAGTCGATTTGAACCCACAGCAACCCTGTAGTTAGAGCTTACAAAAAAATAAATAAATAAAAGGGGAGAGGGTGGACTAGACACCAAAGCTGGGGTATGCTGACTGATGATCTAAGTCATATTGTTTCCCCACTCTCCTTTCTAAGTTACACCATTCCCTTCCCCAGGTTTCTCTTGGCTTCTCACCTGTCCAGCAACTTCCAGGAGCAGATGTGGAACTAGAGTTGCAGGCAGCTCCCGGGTCCCTGTGTGCAGTCCGGGCAGTGGATAAGAGTGTCACACTACTTAGACCAGAGCGAGAGCTGAGCAATAGCTCTGTGAGTAATCTGCAGGTGGGAAGGAGAGAGTTCACATAGAAGACTATTAGACAAAATAAAAGATGGATCTTACAAAGCAGAAGAGAAAGTCTTAGGGAAATGGTTCACCATGAAGTGGCAGAATTGCTGGTGTGGAAATCAAGGTAGAAATAATGGTGTATGAAGGGCATAGTTAATATGGAGACAGCAATAGTCAAAGAGAATGAAATAGGGGATAAGGATGATGGATTATTACAAAAGGTGGTGGCATTGTTATTAAGTGCCATCTAGTTAGTTCCAACCCATAATGACCCTGTATAGGGTTTAAGAGGAGCGGCCAATGAGTTTGTACCACTGACCTTGTGGTTCAAACTGACCTTGGGTTGAATGTTTATCCTACAGCACCATACCAGGACTCCAAAAGGTGGGGTAGAGATTAAAATATAAAGAATAGAAAAGGTGGTTTTGATCGAATATATATAGGAAGAATTTTGAAGTAATGAAGCAAATAATACAATAGTAGTAAACTGTGGCACCAAAATCTGAAAGACATTTCTCAACTAATTTCACTTTTTATCAAAATGTTCTTTTCTTTTTCTTTCTCATCTTAGGTCTATGGGATGTTCCCATTCTGGTATGGTCACTACCCCTACCAGGTGGCTGAATATAATGAGTGCCCAGCATCTGGCCCATGGGACTTTCCTCAACCCCTCATTGACCCCGTGCCTGAAGGGCGTTGGAGCAAGAATTCTCTTTTCTGGAAGCCCTGGTTCTCTGAAGGCACGGACCTTTTCAGCTTTTTCCAGGTAGGTGCTCTTTCCCATTTTGTTCTTATAGAAAGAGTGGCAGGAAGGAAAGGAAAGCTCATACCTAAAAAAACAGAGGCCGATGTGAGCACTGGCCGGGATGAAATCCTAAAAGAAGCTCCTGGCATGTAAGGTAGCCTCTCTTGGTCCTTATGCCTAAAGAAGTTGCCCAGTTGCCTTAAAAAGTAAAGTCTAGACTCTCCCCACTATCCCTGGCTTTGTGGTCTCCAAACCCATGTCTGTGATCTCATAATTTCTATGGAATTAGTCAAGAAGAAAAATGAAAGAAGGTAGGTCAGCAGAGGTTTTATATGCTCTATGGCCTAAGTCTTGACTAACAGATCTGTAAAATCAGGGACTTTCTTGTTCATCATTGTTTCTATCTAATGCCTGACCATTCATAATGCTTAATATTTTTCTGTTGAATTGAATGAGCTAGTATGATCTCTGCTTGCAGAAAGTTAAGAGTAAATCAAATAATAAGAACACAGTAATTGATATTTGGAAGAATTAAATATACTTAAATTTAATTGAAAGTCTTTTACACTGACTGGAAATGAAAAAAATCTTGAGAGCTAAGTACATGGCAATAAGCACTAATCTATCAGCAATAAGAAGGCGGTGGTTCAATCTTTTAATGGTGGACTTCCTGGCAGTAGCTTTTGTAGAGAAGGAGACCACCTTAACTCTCTAATCTCTGGTCTCTTTGGTGCCTCTCAGGGTGTGGGCCTGAAAATACTGTCCAATGCCAAGATCAAGAAGCCAGTAGTTTGCAGTCAGAGGTCTTCAAAATATGCCACTGCAATGGGTGGAGGTAAGCTACCGTAATGGCGTATGGATTCACTGTGGTGTTTAAGTCAAGAAACGCTGAAAGCTCCCTTGTTGCCTCCTGTTCGTCTACTGAACCTCCAACCTTAGGGTGATCATGGATTATGGATCGTAGACACAGGCTGTTTCACAACGGTCTTTGAAGCTTAAAGCCCTCATCTACTCATTCCCTGGCCAAACCTCCTTCTCAGTCATGTCAGTTGATGGTTTTTGTGAGTAGTTAGTTCCTCAGTAGTCCTTCCTTCATGTCTCGGACCAGAGGTGCTCTGCTTGTTGCTGGTGGTCCATCTATCTCTGTTCATTTCACAACAGAAATCTGTTTTCCAAAATTCTCTTCCTCTTGATCTCCTCAGCAGGTGATGGTACTCGTCGAGAGGCTTTTGGGTCATCTTCTTCATCACCTCAGTCAGGAGACTCTCAGGTCCGCCAGTACTTCCCAGAAACCTGGATCTGGGATCTGTTTCCCATTGGGTACGTGTGCCTCAAATTACAGCAAGATTATACACAGTGGAGTGAGCACAGAACTCAGAATCAGATTATTTCTGATGAATCCAATTTGAAGTTAGTTAGTTAAAGTTAAATGGGGTATTTACTTTCCCTGAATGTTTTTTACAATTATATACAACCACTCAAAACAAATCCATGTTTCATACCTACTGATTTGGCTATGATTAAAAGAAAGAAAGAAAACAGTAAGTGTTGGCAAGGATGTGAATAAATCGAAACCCTCATCAATTGCTGGTGAGCTTGTAAAATGGTGCCGCCATTATGGAAACCAGTTTGGCAGTCCCTCAAAATGTTAAACATAGGACTGTCATATGGTCCAATAATTTCACTCCTAGGTATAAACACAGAAGAAGAGATAGCAAGAATGTAAACAGATACTAGTACATCACTATTCATTACAGCATTATTTACAATAGCTAAAAGGTAGACATAACCCAAATATCCATCAATAGATAAATGGATAATAAAATGTGGTATATAAATAGAATATAATATTACTCAGCCATAAAGAGAAATGAAGGCCTGATTCATGCTACCACATGATAGACCATTGAAAACAATAGGCTAGGTAAAATTGATATGTTAATAAATCAGAAATCCAATTTTAGGGTCTGTATCATAAAATTAAGGTGCTCTAGTAGCATAATGAAGGAACTCTGGTAGCGTAGTGGTTACGAATCGGGCTGCAAGCCACAAGGTCAGCAGTTCGAAACTACCAGCTGTTCCACAGGAGAAAGATGAGGCTTTCTGCTCCCACAAAGGTTACAGCCTCGGAAACCCTGTACAGGGTCACTATGAGTCAGAACTGACTCCACAACACTTAACAACAACAACAACAACAACAGTAGCATAGTGGTTACAAATCGGGCTGCAAACTGCAAGTTCAGCAGTTTAAAACTACCAGCTGCTCCACAGGAACAAGATGAGGCTTTCTGCTCACATAAAGATTTACAGTCTCGGAAACCCTGTACAGGATCGCTATGAGTTGGAACCGACTCCACGGCACATAACCACCACCACCATCATAAAATTGTATATATTGAGCATACCTCATTCTTCTGCTATTGCAAAAGCAAGGAAGATATAATCTGTACTTAAAAGCTCCATACCAGGAGCTCTGGTACTGTAGTGGTTATGAGTTGGGCTGCTAACCTCAAGGCCAGCAGTTTGCAACTACCAGCTGTTGCATGGGAGAAAGATGAGGCTTTCTGTTCCCATAAAGATTTACAGCCTCAGAAACCCTGTACAGTGTCTCTATGAATCGGAACTGACTATGGCACATAACAAACCAACCAACAAAGTCAAAGAAGCCAGTCACAAAAGGACAACAATTGTATGATTCTATTTACATAAAATATCTAAAATAAGCAAATGTATACAGATCAAAGTTATTGGTGGTCAACAGGGGCAGAGATGAGGAGGGAAAGGGAGACTTGTTGCTTAGAGGATACTGAACTTCTGTTAAATTGTTGTTGTTGTTAAGTGCCATTGAGTTGGTTCCAAACCTAGGGCTTCTAAAACTGTAAATCTTTACAGGAACATAAAGCCTCATCTTTCTCCCATGGAGCAACTGATAGATTCGAACTACTGATTTAACAGTTAGCAACCTAGCTCATAATAAACTACACTACCAGGGCTCCCTATATATGTAGTTACCACAAAACATTGTGGTTTTCCCCCCCAAATCCATACATATTCACATTATCAGAGTGTACAAAGTGCATACTTACTCCACACAAACTAAAAAGTACATATTGACATTAGTTCTTGCCCATTACTTGCAGATCTGCTTTCACAAACCATAAGAACATATCCTCATAGATTCACAGGGTGTAGCATAGTGGTGACAAATCGGCCTGCAAACCTCAAGGTCAGCAGTTC